ATTTATTCTGCAATAAGCACTATATAATGCAAATAGTCAGCTAATGAACTTTAAAGAGATTTTAGCAGAAATTTTGACAAGAAGACGATTTATTTAATTTGCATTTATAAAAATTTCAAACTAAATTAATCTTATTTCACACTAGATATGTTGCTCTTACTGCTCATAATTTTCATTTCATCGGTTTTGTTTGGAAACTTTGTCCCCGTTGATATAAAGATTTTTTTATATTCAGTAAGCTTAGGCATCAAAGAGGTTCTAAGTTTTACAATGCCTTTTATTATTTTCTCTTTAATGTTTAATAGTATAAATAATTTAAAAAATTCGGCAATTAAATTTATCATATTACTGTTTGCAGCAGTCTTTTTGTCAAATTTGCTTTCAAGCCTTCTTGGTTACTTTACGGGATATATTATTGTACAAAATTTCCATATTAACTCTAATATGCTATTGCCAACAGATGCACTGGACAGTTTATGGAATTTCAAGTTACCAATACTAATCTCAAACTTTCAAGCCTTAATATTTGGAGTCATATCTGGAATGACCGCACATAAAATTGTTCCACACAAAAGTGATATGATTGCTAAAAGACTAGCAGGTATAGCATTTTTCCTTCTAAAAAGAATACTGATTCCTATCATGCCTTTATTTATATTAGGTTTTATTTTAAAATTGCAGCATGACCAAATTTTATTGGTTGTTTTTAAAGATTATATTGCAATTTTTACCATCATGATAGTTGTCATCTACCTTTATGTTATATTGTTATACGGAATTGCAAGTTCATTTAATATCACAAATTGGCTAACAAGCATGAAGAATATGGCACCTGCGTTAGTTACAGCAATTGCAACGTCATCAAGCAGTGCTACAATACCTGTCACTTTAGAAGGATGTAAAAAGAATATCAAAGAACACGACATGGTAGATTCTATGGTTCCTGTAATTGCAAGTACTAGCTCTCCTGGCAACTGTTTTTGTATTATTGTTCTAGCTTTAGTGATTATAGAATCTTTTGGCACTCAACCACTAACAATATGGAGCCACCTAAGTTTTTTGTTGTATTTCCTTATGCTGAAGTTCACTGCTGCAGCACCAGGTAGTAACATAATCGTAGTACTGGGAATTCTTGAGGGATATTTGCATTTTTCTCCAGCCATGCTGTCACTAATAACTGCAATTTATGTGATGATTAACCCTATCATCACTGGCGCAAATGTTACTGGAGATGGTGCATTAATTATCATATTTACTAAACTTTATAAAAAATTTCAAAAGCTCATATAGCCAGTACAGTAGACAATTTCTCTTGACTGTTAAGACTGTAGGTTTTATGTTTAAAACTATAATGATAGGAGTATATGGAAATTTTTCTTGATAGTGCTGATTTAAATGAAATTAAAGAATTAAAAGAATTAATTGATGGTATTACAACTAATCCCTCATTAATTGCAAAATCTGGCCATAAAAATAAATACAAGGACTTAATAAGTGAGATATGTTCAATTATAGATGGACCTGTTAGTGTTGAAGTTGTTGCTGATAGTCATGAAGAAATGGTGAAAGAAGGACTAGATTTGGCAAAAATTGCTGAAAATATCATCGTAAAACTACCTCTTACATATAATGGATTAATTTCTTGTAAAAAGTTATCGACAGAGTATAATATAAGTGTTAATATCACCTTATGTTTTTCTCCTGGACAAGCACTACTTGCTGCTAAGGCTGGTGCTTGTTTTATTTCTCCCTTCATTGGCCGCCTGGATGATATCAGTTATGATGGGCTGTCCTTAATAGAAGATATATGCACTATGTATTCCAACTACATGTTCGATACTAAAGTTCTCGTTGCATCAGTAAGAAGCCC